TACTGTCGGTTTGACTGTATCACTTAACTGTTAATGCCTTTAGGCCATTGGCATTCCTGAGCCTGGTTTCTTTATTTGTGAAATCGAATGGAGTGTTACCTCTGTCTTTTTTTCAAAGTCATAGTAAGTCCAGATGCCCTCTTCATTCCATTCTGGATTTGGACCACATCTTACATGCTTCTATAGCACTATAGTTCCCCAGATCTCATCACAGAACTGTTCCCAGCATGCTGGAATCACTGCTTACTTCTCAAACTCTATCATTAGTCTGTAATCACACAATAAGAGCAGTCATCTTAGTAATTAATGAGTCTTAATAGTAGTAATTAATTAGACTTAATAATTAATTGCCATATTCTCAGTACCTAACATAAATTCAAGACACATTTTAAAGACAAAAAAAACCATTGTGGAATAAATAAACAAGTGAGTGAGGCTCAAACGAGGTCATATTAGCAGACGTATTTTGCAAACAGAACTAATAAATGTAAATAATGATAATGCTGATGTTTATAATAAACAGAAAATTTAAATATAAGTCAAGAAACTCATCCATGGCAAATCTCAAAAAAGTCATATAGCTTTAATCTTATTTCCCCACTTATAAAATGAAATGATGCCTTTTCTAGCTTAGGTAAGAACTTTGAAACAATAAGTTGTTCATGTACGTATACATTTGGCAATGAACAGCTGGGTGTTTGCAAATTGGTAACAATATTAAAATTTTATGAACTCTAATGAACATACAGAATTCCAAGGCCACATTTCAGAGGTTAAGGCAAAAGTAATATTTTACAAAAATTTGTCTTAGGGATAAATCCAAAATGTCTTGGCAAATTTTACTTAAAAATAAGAAACAGACTTGTATGTCATCTCCTCATTGGCTAGGTAACACTTTGGGGATAATAATAAATGACATTTATGACTCTCAGCTTTCCATTCAGGCTACTCAGTACTGCTGGGAAAAGTAACACCACTGAGGAGTGACATTTTACTAATGTATCATTCCCGAGAGGAACTTGCTCCTTAGTGTCCTCCAGCAACCCCCAAAGTCCAGAGCCCTCTGTTCCTGTCATTTTCCAGTCAAGAAGGAGATGGAAATTGTTTGCAACCAGGACTTCGGCTGAAACAGAAAATGACTCTGGCTTTCTTCAACAAAGTAGACGTTCCTGAGAGGATATTGAGGCTCAAAGAATTGAAAGGGAGGCTGGAGAACCAGCTTGCAAGCCACAATGCCCCAGGCAGCTTCCCGAAGCTGGGGCAGGACCTACTCCTCGCTGCTGGGATGGGTGGTTTAAAGCATTCCTCCTCTGCTCGCATCACTGCCTCAGCATGTGAGGTCCCAGGAGTGAGCACCCACTATTACGGCAGGGAGAGGGGTGGCTTCCATAGTGGGAGAGGGTCTGCAGGGATGATCCTGCCACCAAGGCCGCACCGCTGTGGGTGAGCAGTAATGATGATGACAGCCAGATCCTTTACAGGGACTCTTGATCCTCACCCCTAGCCTTCCCTGACACCCTTTCTTCTTTCTGGTCACAGGAACTGCTTCATTCTGCTGGGGCTGGTATAATAAGACGCCACACAGTGGGTGGCTTAAACAACAGAAATTTATTTTCTCACAGGCCAAAAGTTCCTGCCTAGGTAACTCATACTTTGTTGTTTAAAACTCAGTTTGTGTCACTTTTGTAAAACCTTCTCTGTTCCTCTAATTTTATTAAGATGTAGTTTCTCTTTTCTGTCACAGCACCGGCTAAAACAGCTTTGTACCTCTCCAATTTCCAAGCGTGTAAATGTCAAAGTCCCTTCATCTTCTTCCCCAAAAGAAATGGGTTGCCTCCAGTAAGCAGGCACCAAACCCGAATGCCTTAGAACCGGCACTTGACAATTATACTAGAAATTAATTGTACACGCGGTTTCCAAATACAGTTGCATTAGTCATAGTCATACTGCTTGGTAGCGAATGGTTTCCATCTTTATCTCTAACTCAGGAAGTAAATTCCTTAGGGCAGAGATTGTGTGTTAGTTGTTTATGCAATCATGGAAAATCGAAGGTGATCTATACATTTCGGTTGGTTGAATGAATGCATAAACAAATGAGGATTTTACAAAAGTGGTTTCAGACATTTTTCAATACGTTAATGAGGTGAACAAGAGTTTTGCTTTTCTGGTTTAGATCTGAGTTAATGGAGAGGTTAAGGTCAGAGGTTAATCAAATTAGATTCATTGTGTTACATTATATACACTGTATGAATACATTTTCTGTCTACAATGGGGCTGTTGCTGCTTTTTAAGGTTTTTTTATTTTTATCTTTAGAGGGGAAGGGAAGGAGAGAGGGGGAGAAATATCAATGTATGGTTGCCTCTGGTGCATCCCCTGCTAGGAACTGGCCTGCAACCCAGGCATGTGCCCTGACTGGGAATTGAACTGCAGTTGTTTGGTTTGCAGGCTTACACTCAATCCGCTGAGCTACACCAGCCAGGGCTGTTGCTGCTTTTTAAGTACATAAATTCTTTCAGGTTACAAGTGTACCTTTTCCTGTATAATCGCATTTATGTAAGTGACTTAAAGAGAAGTGTCTTAATTTGTGCTTTGATTTTCTTTTGAAAACAGAATACTTTGTAGAAAAATTGGCCAATTTTGGAATCATTCGATAAAGTTTTTAAAAAACACAGAATTCTATCTAACAAGTTAGACAATATTTTTTTTAAAATAACATTTCCATTTGAAATGGGAGGGTCTTTTTTAAAGAACAGTCCTAGTGAACCCGTAATGGACTGACAGGACTGTGATTCCCACTGACATCTGAGAGCAGTCGCACAACGGAGCACCATCACAGGGATGAAAAGTTTTGGTTTTATATACGTGCTCAGTGTAATTTATAATATTGTTGTAATAGTTTTTAGTGGAGAAAGTACATTGAGGGTGAAGGCACAGGATATAGATCGGTGGCTGTCAACCAGGTGGGACACCAGATTCAGCTGTGTAGATGTGAAAACTACAGCTCCCTGGTCACACTATTCTGAGTTTTCTGGTTCAGTGGATCTGGAGTGGGGCTTGGGATTCTGTGATTTAAAAAAACACTACAGCTGATTCAACCTCTGATTGAAATCATTAGCTTATATCCATCATTTCACTTAGTTTGGCTCATACAGGAAGAAGAAAATAGTAAGTGTGATGAACAAAATCATGCCCTCCCCAAGTTATATGTTGAAGTCCGAATCCCCAATGTAACTATATTTGGAGATAGGGCCTGTAAAGAAGTAATTATAGTTACTTTAGGTCATAAGAGTGGGGCTCTAATTTGATAGGACTGGTGTCCTTATGGGACTGGTGGCCATCTGCAAGCCATGAAGAGAGTTCTTAGCAGAAACCCCAACCTTGCTGACACCTTGATCTTGGCCTTCCCGAAGTGTGAGAAAGTAAGTGTCTATTGTTTAAACCACCTACTTGTGGTATTTTGTTATGGCAGTCCTAGCTGACTAATAAAGTAGAGCACTTAATTTCTAGGAAACTGGAAATCCAACCAAGTAAGGAGGAGAGAATGAACCAATAGTAATAAATAGGAAAAAAAACCCCTGGAAATTACCGAAAAGAACAGCACAGTTGAGGGAGCCAGAATCTAGAAAGTATGAAGACTGGGATTACAGAGAAAAGGCCAGCCTCGGAGAGAACCACATCATACATTTTCCATGTATTTTTCCATTTCATCTTCTCAATGCCTCTATCCACAGGCAGATGAGGAAACCAGTTTTACAGGAGTTAGGTTTGTATAGTTGAGAAGTGGAAGACCCAGAACAAGAAATGTGTATCTTTTTTTAGGGCGCTCTTCCCTGACACAGCATGCACCAGATTCTATCATCTCTCTTTCACCATTGCCATTTTTGTTATGTCCAAGTCAACTGCTTCCTATTATTTTACAAATTATATGTTTAAAACCAATTCATTTTTTTTGTAGTATCGATCTATGCAACAATATCACCAGTTTGATATGCTGGTTAGATTTTTATTTGTAATATATAATTTATTAATTATGTTGTGGGAGGGATTGTTGTAAAAAACTAAAAAAGGGAGAAGGATAGAAGTGTGCTGTGATTTTATGTATTTATTTTAAATTTTTTTATTTATTGATTTTTAGAGAGAGAGAGAAGAGAGGAAATCAATTTGTCGTTCCAATTATTTATGCATTTGTTGCTTGATTCTTGTATGTTCCCTGACTGGGAACTGAGCCAACATCTTTCCTACAACTTGGCATATCGGGATGATGCCCTAACAAACTGATCTAACCAGCCAGGGCTTTATTTTATTTTATTATTTTTGGAGGACCTTTTACTATCCAAGGCCCATATGTTATAGGCTATACTTCAGACAGACTTCCACCAAGTGCAATGAAAATATTTTGATTTTATTTATCATTTTTACCATGAATATTTAGATATTTAGATTTTTATAAAGCATATTAAATTCAGTATACAACTCTCAGAAAAGAGCTCTCTGGGCAGCACCTGAAGTCACCGTGCACACCGTCTGTGTGCATTTGCCTCCATGGTGAGGGATGACACTCTGGGAATGGAGGTTAGGAAGAGGGGCGTTCAGAAGGAAGCGCCTTATGTCAAGAGTGAATGAAGAAGGGAGGGAAATGAGGGTTTGTGTGTATCTCATGTGAAGGTGGTAAAAAATGGCCAGCTCTTTAGGCTACACAGATAAAGGAATGTTGGTTAGAGCAGCACAGAAATCATTACAGAATTAATTACTTTGGAATAAAGGATTTGCGTTTTTCAAGTGAAAGGCTTGAGCTCTGATGTCCATTGGTAACTATCATGCAGATCAGAGAATGATTTAAATGGCAGCGGTACTATCCTAGGACCCAGGCAATGGGGCCCTGCCCAGGCCCCTGCTTTAGAAGGCTCTGCCCATCATCTGGGAGCTTTGCCCTTCTTGGACACACCACAGCCCCTCTAGACCACACACCCCATAAATGTAACTCTTTTTCTGCTTTCAGGGATCATCTGGCCTCTTCCATATTCACTTCCCCACCTGGACCACACTGCTGATGTGGGCAAACTTCGGTCCCAGCCTTGGCCAACAAAGTGCTGTGAACAGGTGCATGTGTATGGAACTCAGACTGGAGTGTTCACACTCATGCATGTGAGGCTCCTAGTGGACCATCATGGAGCTAAAATGGGGGAAAAGGGGGGTGGATTTGATTACCCCAGAGTCAGAGAACTGAACTAAAGAGAGAAAAGCAGATTCCCAGGTACCAGGAGGGAGGGTTCAAAGGGGACAGGTATAGTGAGTCCCTCATTTGTACATATTTGTCAGTCCCTGGAAGGAATTGAATTAGCCAGAGTCATGCAAATATTGAGAAGAAGCCTCTATTTAAAATGGGAGCCCTGAACAACCGCAGACCAAGAGATGGGGCTCCGTGTGCAATTAGGACCAAAGACCAGAGTCCTGGAAGTCACCACTATGGCCATTTTGATTCAGACCCACCAGACACAGAAGAACAGTGAAACCAGTGGCTTCAGTGGAACAGGACAACACAAAGGGGCCCGGATGGGATGAACATGGAAATGCCCTCCACCTACATTTGGCTAAGATTCCCCTCTTTGGGGAAAAGTTTTTTTGGGAAGTACATTCAGTGTTTTTTGTTTGTTTCAGTCGGATACACATGTATTGAAAAAACTCTATGTCTCAGGTAGTGTGCAAGATGCTGGTGTCCATAAAACAGCATGGAAATCAGTTCCTGAGGGGATCAGCTGGGAGAAGCCACCTTGGGTGGAGGAGATTTAAGATAGAGAAGATTTGGAGTAACTTATTTAGGGAGCGTGCTACTGACTGGAAGCAGGTGAAATAAAGAACAGGGTTTTGGTCAGCTAGGAGTACATTTGAAGTTAGCATGAATTTATAGGGAGAGCAGATTTAAAGAAAATCTATAATTTTCTTTAGCAATGCTCTGCAGTCCAAAGGAACGGGAAAAATGACTGGGGGGGCGGTTAGGTCATCTTGGCATAGTACCTGTTTAAAAAATCCAGAGTCTTGCAAGATCAGCTTTGAAGTGGCTGGCCATGCCATCTGAGCTAGCGGTCATCATCATAATTACTAGCTTTAAAAATTAATTTTTAAAAAATTGCAGTTTATATACAATAGTATATTAGTGTTAGGTGTACACATAGTGATTAGACATTTATATGACTTATGAAGTGACCACTTGGATAAATCTGGTACCCACATATCACCATGCATACAATCACTCCCTTTTTAAATGAGCTCTTACTACATGCCAGTTCCAGTTCTTTAATCATTAAATGCATCCTCCCTGGGCTGGGCAGGAGTCATGTGACCTCAAGAGGTTCAGCTGGTTGGGGAAGATGGAAAGACAGCGATTCCAGGGATTGGTGAGGTTTTAGAGAGTTGTGTCCTAGTGCTTCACTTTACACTGGTGACGAATAGAATTTCAGTATGAAGAATCTAAAGACCTGACAATTCCAGAATAAATTGAGATTGAGCATAGCATCGTCTTTGAAGGTTACTGAAAAATTAGAAGGATTTTTTGAACCGTTTTAAAATATTTTAGATGTAGCCTTTTTAGAAACAGGGTTATAAACAAGTGAACCACCTAAAAATCTGTTTCTGTGTTTAGGGATGTAAAATTAAGCCTGGTATTTTTTATTTCGTTTTGACTTTGATTTCTACTGATAGAAAAAAATGAGGGTTTAATCTCATTATTTAGAATTGAGAAGACAGATTTTCAAACAAAATAATTTGAGTCTTTCTGCTGTAGGTGAGAATTGGCTTCATGTGGCAGTGCTTCCTTTATCAAGTGAAAAATACTCAATCCAGATTGGGTTAGTCTTCCATGTGGTTAAGATCTGATAATGTGACCATACCAGAGAAGAAATCTGTAATCATTTCCAGAAGATCTTAATTAGAAAATGTAATATCTAACACTTATGTTAAGAGGCACCTGGAAAACCAGATAGAGATTTTTAGCCTACCTGGGTTGTTTGCTTGTTTGTGGGTAGAGTCCAATTATAATTCAGATTTTGCAGACGTTAGAGGGCTATGAGGCAGACTCTTCTGTGAAGCTGATTGCTCATGCACAGCAAAACTCGCTTTCAATTACTGAAATCAATTTTTCCCAATGCCTCAAAGCAGAGACCATTCTGAGGCCTTTGAAAGCAATTTTTCTTTCTTTCTTTCTTTTAAAAAAAAACCCTGACACATCATTCTGCTTGCTGTATAATGGAAGAACTGATTTAAAGCAGTTTGGTGCTCTGACTAGATCTCTGGTCCCTTTCAACCCAGGATCCTGTGATCCTCTGTGCTGTTCTGTGCTGTATGGTGGATCCCCAAGATGGCTTTCTCAGTAGGTGATGTGTGGCAGTGACAAAAGGAATGAATCTGCACTATAACTGGGGAGATGCTTTCCCCAGTAATGGTCCTGACTTGATGGTTCCTTTGTCAGTTTGGTTGCTTGGCAGATTGTAAGCTTGAGCAGATAGTTTTTAAAGAATTTGTGTGTTCCACATATGTAGGTCATTTACTTAAAATTTTATTTCCCCATTTAAATCATTTCCTAATTAATATGTTATACCTCTATCCATAATGTCTCAACTGTAAGAAAAATGGTTTTCCCTCCTAGTGATCAATACTAAGTTTACTACATTTCTCATAACACAGCATTGATTACTGATGGCCCCTACTCATCTCCCCAGTCCCCTTGTCTGGGATATTAACTTAATAGGGAAATATTCTGTGTGTGTATATGTACACATGTGTGTGTGAAACAGAAGGGAAATCCACTGAGATGCGTGGCTAGTTTCTGAACAGCAAATTTTGCCTTGCCAGTGATAGTTTTAAAGTACTTTGGATCCTTAAATTTATTACCATTTACAATGGATATTTTGGAACTTTGTTAATATTAGAACTGTCATTATAGCCTCAAGTTGGAATCCCAATAAAGCTGTATCCCTGAGCTTACAAAAGTATATGAAAGATGCTCAGAAATATTTCCTGACCAGCCACGGAACAGAACGGAGAGTTGTGAGTCTGGGGTGGTTGGGAGGAGAGTCTAGAGCAGGGCTTTTCCTGACCACAGGCAGGGTCGGTGGGGCACACAGAGGTGATGCCACTTTCCCCTTTTTCACATAATATCTGGGAGATGTGCTGACTGGCCCCTGTTCCCCAAACTTCTACCTTGGTTGTCAGAGAGTGCTGGAGGACTTATTCACATAATCCTTGAGAAAAAATTTCTTGAACGTAACCTATGTGCTTGGCACTGTGTCTGAGCCCTCACAGTGTCTGAGTGTGAACTACAGGGATAGATTAACGTCCAAAAGTTGTTTTCCATTTCAATCCTTTCTGCCACTTGCTTTTTTAAAAAGTTTGCGTTTTCAAGAAAATCACTATTATCTGTCCATGTTAATTTTGTCATTAAAAATCACTACCGATTTTTTTTAACGCCCTGGCCAGTACGGCTCAGTTGGTTGAGCAGTCTGGGCATTTGCAGGAGGCAACCAATCGATGTTTCTCTCTCTCACTGATGTTTCTCTCCCTCTTTCTCTTCTCCCTGCCTCTGTCTCTAAAAAAAAGCAATGAAAAAACATGTCCTTGTGTGAAGATTAAAAGTTACTACTGATTTTTAAATTTTACTTTGGGTCACAGGCTTGCAAAGCTTTATTTAGGACTGCAGTAAGTGAAGGTCCATGCCTCATATTTATGGAATCACTGGAATTTAAATACAGATTCCCTCACTTTGCAGATGAAACAGAGTCCCAGAGAGATTCACGAATAAATGTAGAGAACTGCGTTTCCAACTATATTTTATAGCAAAAATTTTCATGAAAATTTTAATTTGGGGTTCATTATGATATTTAAATGTCTAATGTTTGGTGAGCATGGAGATTGAAAGGGTACACAGCACCTAATAGCAAAGAGCTTATTCCTACTTAGTTTTTCTTGCTTGGTTTCCACATACTTTAGCCACTTTTAGCTTCATCCCAAATGAGAGCTTTTTATCTTCTAGCTAAGCATGAGGTTTTTTTCCCATTTGCTCCTCCAACATGTCAGGAACTGTTAGATAAATTCTTTCTTAAGCTGCCTTCATTAAATAAGTATCCACTGGGCTTAATCTATGTGCCACAAAAGAAAAGCAAGACATGATTCTTACTCATGAGATGAGAGAAAATTATTATAATATGACGGCATCACAGGAGCCAGATGTATAGTACAGACAATACGTAAGGGGGACACATGTGAGTTGGTTTTATCTAAGATCAGAATCTTGTGACGTCCTAATTGAACGCTTGGCAGTCACTTGGTGGATTTACCCATTCGGATTTCTTATCCTGTTGAGGAAGACAGGAAAGACCGGTGGCTTCATGCCATGCTGAGTACTTTGGAAAAAAGAGCATGGGCTTTGTAGCATAATAAAAACCGTGGACACATTCTACACCAGTTCGGTTGACTGCTTTAGCGAATCCGAAGACAATGCCTGTCATCATCTTTGCTTGGGTGTGCCTGGTCACAGTGAATGCCGCTCACAGGGTGCGCTGCTTCACGGAGGGGGTCACAGAGAAGGGCGTCTGTCAGCAGCGATTTTGCATTTGGGGAGGAGATGGGACCAGGTAGGTTCTGAGATTTACTGGTCACAATCCCAGATTGGGAAGAAAAAAGTTACCCTTTTGGTTAGTGTTAAAGTTGGCAGTTTGCCTTGCAAGAGACAGTCAATTGCTGACTTTGCTTGAATGTACTTGGAAAGAGAAGAGCTTAAACCAGCCATGAATGAAAGAAGAATGCCAGATTTTCTGGAAACATCACCAAAACTCAACAGTTTCTCAGAATTTTCAGAGGCGCCAGAGGATTGTTTGCATTTCAATGGAAAAAGTTCTGAAAGCTCTGGAAACTATTCCCAGTTTTACTTTTCCATTGAAAGGCGAAAGCAACTGCTATGAATAAGGGACAGAAGCACTGGCTAAGGCTTTGTTAAAAGTTAAGAGAAGGGGCCTCTGGGAAATTTTAATTGTTCACTCCTTTGTCACAAAGCCCAGACAAAGGCGATCAAGTCATAATGGCGAATAGAAATTAAAAGTACTGTTAGC